AAGTTGCAATCTTGCCACGTCTTCGCCAGCTAACGTTGATCGGGTAAGCAGGTCGCATGATTCCTAAGAATGAAGCAACGTAATGACCCGTGGCTGAAACTAATTAAGGAGTTAATGACTATTGCGGCGGTTTTCCTATTAGCTCGAAGCGAAAAGGACCCTGGAACGTTGAAACCTATTCCTACTTACGGTTTCGGATAATTTATTCGACTCTGTCCATTTTTCTGAAACATTCGTGCGTTGACCATCTCATCAGCAATGCCGTTTATGTTATGGAAGAGGACTCATGCGAAACAAACTAGTTTATTGCCATAGATTGCCGCTCTCACAAAAGACCTGTATTCGCCAGCGGTGGTTTGCATTGGACGCCATGATGGCAAACTGTCGCAGGATTGGTCACTCAAGTTGTTGTGGTCGCGATTCATACGTGATTCGTTACTGCTTTCCTTACTATCATCAGTATTTAGGGCGCTTTAGCATTTTAGTGAAGATTCTGCACTTATTTCTTAGACCGAGAACACAAGTTCGGTTTAATGACTTGTTCTCTTTCTGCTAATTGGTTTCGGCAGTCTTTGTACGAAACCAAGAGATGTTTCTAGTCGATCGGTTGAAGAATTTTCAGCACTGCATATTTTGTGAACGGTTTCATTTCTTGTCGGAGAATGGCTAACAATCGAATAAATCACAGCAAATTGCAGTCTTTCGATGCCTTTCGCATAGAAAAGTATTGCAGAAGGCTTCGCTAAGTCTTGTCGATCAAAATAAAGCAGCCCATTGCCCTAATTGCTGGAAGCTGCTCTCTCGCCATTCATTTCTCGGCTAATTGAGTCGCATTGGGTACAGAAATATGAACTGCCTTGCGTAAGGGAATTAGCTTTTAAAATAGATAATTTAGTCCCTCCATGGATTAAAACTCCTGCCACTTATAATTGAGAAAAGGAAAGCATCGTATTTAGGATCCTATTCCCTAGACATAAATATTTTAAACTTGCGGAAAAGCGTCGTAATGGCAGAGAAATGAAACTGGTCACTCAGCCAGAGAAGACTGACTGGAACTCAGCACGTTTAAACCGATGCTGACTCTTCCAAAGGCTTTTCATTCTCTACACGTTACCTTGCTTATGATTTGGCAGTATTGACTTTTATCAGTGAATGCATTTCGGCCATGACGGGGGCCGATTATCCTGGAAGTTACGCAAGTCCTACTCACTGAGCAGTATTCCCGCACCTGGGTGAGAAATGAAGAACCGATATGATCGAAGTTCATTGTTGTCAAGACGTTGGTCTGCTATGAACTCAAATGATGGACGATAATTGTGGTACAGTACCATTACGGGGTGCTTAGCGCGATGACACTAATTTTCTTTAAAATATTATCAGTCATAGCTCCTATATGCGATGGCAAAATCTACAGCCATTAGGCAAGCATTGGTATGCTCAACTTCATTTTAATAAATAGCTCTACAGGCGGATCCTTTGGGGAGGGAATATATGTTTTTAAAATGAGAATTTGAGGTCGTACGAATCGATGACAGGCTGAAAAAATTTACATTCGTACAAAGTTCAGAATTAAGCTAACACAGTGAACTCTGATTTGCTGTTTGCGATGTCTTCTGACGGGTCCTTTAGCCAATACGAAGGAGTAAAACTACATCGGCAAAAAGTAGGCAACATCAATGTAAATTCTATAGTGTTTGCGGATGGTATCTTATCACTACCTCTGGTTTGCAGACGACCTATGCTCATCTTCAAATAAAGGACTAAACGCTGAGAGACGCCAACAAGAAAGTAGAATTCAATGATTTTGCTTTCTTCTTTTTTTGTATCTTTTCCTCAATCTTCTATCTGTAACAAGTGACTCAGTAATATGAGCAACTCAAGAGGCGTAGTTTCCTCCTCCTCGTCGTAATATCATCTCCACTCCTTCTGTACTACTCTTTAAACGTTACGGATAGCTTGTAATAAAAGGTTCATTGCTTTATTCATCACCATAACCACAAACGGGTTTACTTTGAATAGTGAAAATATCAACAGTTTGCCAGAATATCAACAATTTATAATCACCATCGACCCATTTACAGGGGCCACATCAAATACACAGAATTTATCAACGTGGAGCGATAATAATGAATTTTAAAATACACGAGGATACTTTAATTAAATCAGTTGAATCAGAAGAGTTTACTGATTATTTACCATAAATAGCAAGTAAAAATAGTACCGAATAATATTTCAGTAGCCTCAGACTCAGTGGTATAACAATATGCCGATAAGGCACAAAGAAGAACAAGATTCATAGTAATAAGACTAAAAATCAAAATTAATGAAGAGGTAACGAATTAGTGGATTGAAAGTTAATGCAAATGAATATCTAAATGTATGAGTTGTTAGCTAAGGATCGATTTGAGCGGTATCACAGATTTCCCGTATGCCTGAGTACTGGCATAGATGCAAACGTATTGGAATATTAAATGAGATCTAGAAACGCATTTTGAAAGTGACTGGTGAAATGAACAGAGAGGATTGGATAGAAAATATCTGTCAAGGTTAACCATAAATCTTATAACTTGATATATTACGGTGTTTGCAACATTCATGTAGGACGGCTAGTTTATTCTGTTCACAGGTTTCAAATCCGACCAAACTTTGTGCAGGGTTCATTTTGTGCAAGCGAAGAATGAAGAAGGAAGCATGTGTAATTAATGGAAGAATGTAGGTTCCATGAAATTGCTCCTTGATTATTTCTGAGGCTTGTTAGGAAGTTAGGCGTTTCAAGAAATAGCTGTACCATCGAAGTTCAGTGATTGCCTTTCCTGCGTATGTGCTAAAGCGTAAACCTTCGTCAGTGGTGACACCAAGATAGTTGTGCTGAGAGTCCTGTTCATGTTTTGGTTGAGCAGCAAAACAGAGGGACGAGGTAGTTGGTTAAGGCGTTACCGAAATACATGTAGAGGCGGAATAAACTTTCTTTGGTTATTTTTACCATGTCTAACGATTAAGCAATTTCCCTGACTAGTCCTGAAAGCCGAAAATGTGCAAAATATTTTGTGAGATTATCCAATGAAGTAATTGCACACCATGTCAAGGTATCATCGGCATATTTTATTCATAAATGTCAGCGGAGAATTGACTTTGCATGCATTAATGTATACTGTGAAGAGAAGTGGAGATAAGGTTGATCTCTTTGGAATTTAGAATTTCCAAGTTGTTTGGTAGGGTAAAGCATCTGTGCCCATTGGTCCATACTAACTGCGTGCGGTCGAAGAGATAGTTGGCCAACCGGCGCATGGCATATGGATCAATATCGAGGGAACAAAGAACTGCTAAATGCTTTGCGCGACTCACGGAGTTAAATGCACTGCCAGAGTCCAAAAATAGCCAACGGGTCATGCAACAATCTTTGTCAAAGACTTCGGCAACTGCCACTGTTAAATGTGCTAAGGCATCAACCTCGTTCTTGTTTAATAAGGGTTATCTAGAAGCGATGCTTTCTTCTTAACTCGTGGTTGCAATAAAGTAT